ACCCTGAACACACCATCCCCACTGTCAAACATGGTGGTGGCAGCATCATGGTTTGGGCCTGCTTTTCGTCAGCAGGGACAGTGAAGATGGTCAGAATTGATGGGAAGATGGATGGGGCCAAATACAGGACCATTGTGGAAGGAAACCTGTTTGAGTCTGCAAGATACCTGAGACTGGGACGGAGATTTATCTTCCAACAAGACAATGATCCAAAACATAAAGACACATCTACAATGGAATGGTTCACAAATAAACATATCCAGGTGTTGGAATGGCCAAGTCAAAGTCCAGACCTGAATCCAATCGAGAATCTGTGGAAAGAGCTGAAGACTGCTGTTCACAAACACTCTCCATCCAACGTCACTGAGCTCGAGCTGTTCTGCAGGAAGAATGGGCAGAACTTCAGTGTCTCCATGTTCAAAACTGACGGAGACAAACCCCAAGAGACTTGCACCTGGAACTGCAGCAAGAGACGGAGCTACAAAGTATTAACGCAAGGGGGCCCAAAAATATTGCACGCCCCACTTTACAGTTTTTTATTTGTTAAAAAAGTTTGACACATCCAATAAATTTCATTCCACTTCACGATTTTGTCCCACTTGTTGTTGATTCTTCACAAAAAATTAAAATTTTATATCTTTATGTTTGAAGCCAGGCAGCACGGTGGCGCAACTGGTAGAGCTGCTGCCTCTCAGCGAGCAGGTCCCTGGTTCAAACCCCGGTCCAGGGGCCTTTCTGGGTGGAGTTTGCATGTTCTCTCCGTGCATGCGTGGGTTTTCTCCGGGTACTCCGGTTTCCTCCCACAGTCCAAAAACATGCATGTTAGGCTGATTGGTAACTCTAAATTGTCCTTAGGTGTGAGTGAGAGAGTGAATGGTTGTTTGTCTCGTTTGTCTCTGTGTGGCCCTGTGATGGACTTGCGACCCGTCCAGGGTGTACCCCGCCCCTCGCACAGTGATTGCTGGACATGGGCACCAGCGACCCCCGTGACCCAAAATGGAATAAACGGGTAAAGAAATGGATGGATGGATGTTTGAAGCCTGAAATGTGGCAAAAAGTTGAAAAGTTCAAGGGGGGCGAATACTTTCGCAATGTACTGTACGGGTGAGGGTTGGGTGTTTAATTCAATGAGGGGCTGCGTGCAGTTGGCGGCTCACAGGATAAAAAGAACTACTGTACACGGATTTTCAAGTCTAATAATACTTGCAATGGTTGTGATAGAGCCATTTGAACCATTGTAAATTGAAAATCTCTCAATACATCAAGTATATTCTATACATCCCCCAGCCCTACTTGCAGTTACACAATACTTACCAATACTACAGTTGGTATGAGGTGTTTGTGCTATATTATGTTGACTTGTTAGACTTTCAGTAAAAAATCTATTTTGTTTATTTGTTTTGTACTTCATTCTGAGTCTAAAAAAGGTTAAATCTGGTCCTCTGGACATAAAAAAAAAAAAAAAACAAAGCAAAACAACAAAAAATTTTAGAAACGTTTCGTCTTTCATGCGAAAGACTTCCTCAGTCTGAGGAGCTGTATTCAGCTCAGTCTCTTAAATAGCACCTTCTCAGAGTGGATCAACCAGTTTGCTGCTGACACCCAAAACCAGCTGCTCACATGATCAAGAAGGGCCATCAGCCTAACAATGGATCATTAGCACCTGATGGCTGTTTACTATTCACAGGAGGCTGAGTGATACTAGCAATAACAGCATTGTGAGAGGGGGACAGTTGAACACGGAGGCCTCCACCCCTGTTTAATGATGGACAATTTCTTTTCACAAAGATGGCCTCCTTTACTCCTCTCTCAAACCATCGTTCCTCTCTGTCCAGGATGTCCATCCATCCATTTTCTTCCGCTTATCCGGGGTCGGGTTGCGGGAGTAGCAGCTTAAGTAGGGAGGCCCAGATTTCCCTCTCCCCAGCCACTTGGGCCAGCTCCTCCAGGGGGATCCCAAGGCATTCCCAGGCCAGCTGAGAAACATAGTCCCTCCAGCGTGTCCTGGGTCTTCCTCACCAGGGAGGTGTCCAGTAGGCATCCTAACCATAGATGAGGGTGGGAACGTAGATGGATCGGTAAATTGAGAGCTTCGCCCTTTTGACTCAGCTCTCTCTTCACCACGACAGACCTGTACAGCGCCCGCTTCACTGCAGACGCTGCACCTATCTGCCTATCAATCTCATGCTCCATTTTTCCCTCATTCGTGAACAAGACCCCAAGATACTTGAACTAATCCACTTGGGGCAGGACCTCCTCCCCGACTCGAAGATGGCGCTCTACCCTTTTCCGGCTCAAGACCATGGCCTCCGATTTGGAAGAACTGATCTTCATCCGGCCGTGTTGCACTCGGCTGCGAACCGCTCCAACGAAAGCTGTAGATCACGATCTGATGAAGCCAATAGGACCACATCATCTGCAAACAGCAGAGACGCAATCCTAAGGCCACCAAAACAGATCCCCTCAACACCTTGGCTGCGCCTAGAAATTCTGTCCATAAAAGTTATGAACAGAATCGGTGACAAAGGACAACCTTGGCGGAGTCCAACTCTCACTGGGAACGAGCCCGACTTACTGCCGGCAATTCGGACCAGGCTCTGACACCGGTCATACAAGGACCTAACAGCCCGTATCAAAGGGCCTGGTACCCCCTGTCCAGGATGTGAACATCTTCATCCCTGATAGAGTGACCACTGGCCTGGAGACGAGTGTAGACCGCAGAGTCCTGGCCTGATGATGTTGATCTTCTGTGCTGGACCATCCTTTTGGCCAGTGGCTGTTTAGTTTCCCCCATGTAAGACTGATCACAGCCCTCCTGACACTGAACAGCACACACAATATTACTCTGTTCGTGTCGGGGGGACTGAATCTTTGGGATGAACCAGTCTTTGCCGTAATGTATTTTGCGGTTTATAAGCCACTGGGCCGTTATGTGGTCTGATCTAGACACAAAAACTAACAACGTGTCTAGATCAGACCACACTTCAGCAAGTGATGGACTGTACAGATCAGGCACGCTTAGCACAGCATGTCAAGTCCAAGACTTGACAACAAAACAAGTTTAACTTACTAATAACTCATTAACACCATCACAATTCCAATAACAACACATTCAGTGTAGGACAACACTCCAGTAGACAATTACATGCCAGGGAGACGGAAAAGTAGGTGAAGAATTTATCTGACAGACAGCTCACCCAGCCGGAGACAGAGATTCTTGCCAGGGGACTGAATTCTTCTGGTGGAGATGATCACAGCTACTGAGTCAGCCATCTTCAACAACAAAATGAAAGAGGGTGAAGCAGAACAACTCAGAATCAAAGTTTCAGCCTGCCTCAGCAATGCCAAACCACCACCTTCCAACATCAGTAGAGAGGAGAGGGACGCACTCACCACTCTTAGCAAGGACAAAAACATCATCATTCTCCCAGCAGACAAAGGAAGGTGCACAGTGATTTTGAACCAGAAAGACTGTCATCAGAAAATTATGATGCTCCTTAGTGACTTAACCACTTATGAACCTCTGAAAAGAGATCCAGGAAGTGGTTACAAGAAGAAGTTATTAGATTGCTTGAAACATTTGGAGCAGGACAAGGCTATTGACCGTTTTCTGTACCACAGACTGTACCCAGGAGAGGCCACACCTAGTCTGTATGGTTTAACTAAAATCCACAAACAAGGAGTACCTTTAAGACCAATTGTTAGTATGATTAACTCTGTCACTTGCAATGTTTCCAAATATCTGGTGTCTGTACTCATCCCTTTAGTTGGCAGCTCAGAACACCACATACAGAACACCATGGACTTTGTGGATAAGGTGAGGGATGTCATCATGGAGACTGATGAAACAATGGTCTCTTTTGATGTCACATCACTTTTTACGTGCATTCCTGTTGATGATGCAGTAGAGGTGGTCAGTTTAAA